AATACTAATATTTATTTAAAGAATATTTAATACATATATCGTATTTAAAAAATAGATAATACATATATGAAGGAGAATATGTTAGCTATAAAAGTTCCTTTTGTACCTGCTTCTTTCATAATTTTTTTTATTGTTTTTCTCTGTAACTTCTTTTATTGTGCAATACAGTATAATAATTAAATAAATTAAAAAACATAGTTTCTACCTCTGGCATAATAATGGCATTTTTAAAGTATATCTTGCATGAAAAGATTACATTTTTTTAGTAGTAGATTTTATTTGTCTGTATTGGTATTCGGTTTGCAGAAGCTAATGTTCTACGTGATAGAAAGTGTAAAACGTCACTTATAACATATTAATATTAAGTACTACTACAATAACTATAGAAATGATAACCTATATTAAAATATATGCTATTTCGTTTATAAATTTTCGATTATAACACTTGTGTTATAGTCACTTATTCTATTTAGTCAACTACAAATGTGTTAGTACAATCATATTTTTTTACACAGCATCATCTAGTCCCAAGCTAAACACAGCTTGTTATGGGCATGTACTAGCCATACTACAATCAATACAATAGGTAGAAATACTTAAATACATTACTTATATATAAATATCACTATCTAGAACAATAGAAAGAACCATATTCATGTATACAAATATTTTAATAGAACTAGTAATTGAACCTGCGACCATAGGAAGTTATACGATGTGCAAAACAAAACCTCAATACTACCAAGGCTGCGAATATTATCATAGTTATCATAGAATGTATAAGGAGGCTGTCTTATCTGTGATATTACAGTAAGGAAATATTAGGGTATAGTGACAAGATAAAATCTTTAATCAAATTCTTAAATTAAGAAGACGAATATTAGGAACTAAGTAATTAATATGAAAATAAATTTAACTGTAATATCTAACCTACCTCACCTATCCTATACCCAAACTTTGAAATTATTCCTATCCTTAAAACTTTATCATTTGGGAAACGATAAGTAGAAATGTATATGTACATATAATATCCATACCTAAATAAAATATCAATTTCAATGTAGATAAAATAGTTACAACAAACTTTAGTGCTTAGGTATATTGACATGTTGCCAAATACATAATTGAAAATAAGCAATATTCCATTTATACGATGAAATTAACAAATTCTATTTCTGGACATTGACGATTTTGTGAGCCTTATATAGGCGAAAGTATAATTATCCAGGGATATGGTAATTTAGGATGAAAGTTAGAAAGTGTTCATCAAATTTATTTCGCGATAAACATAGGTCATTCACATAAGTTGTAATTATGAAATATATTGTGTACAATTACGAATTCTTTTTTATTTGATCTGACCTCTGACTGTTATTTATATTGGAAGTATTATTAGCCTTTACTATATAAAAATAATTGTAAAAATACATTCATCTCGAAGAGCTCACAATACAATTGTAAAATACATATAAGAAAAGAGCTCCTAATTAAAAAGATATACAAGATGCCAGCAACGTCCAGTCTAACCTATTTTAGATACCAAGCAATTTGCTTTGTAAGTTAAATATAGTTTACAATTGATGGGTAAGGCAGTAAAATGACGTGAGGCATTATAATCTAGTCCTCTAAAATGGCAACCCATGGGCATCAAAATGATAGCATATTGTCCGTGACGCCATTGTTGTAAATGAGACTACTACTAATGTCACGTTTTTTGCAATTCCAAATACACAAAAATCTCATTTTAAACTTAAAATTATTCGAAATATTTTTTATTGGAAGTTATAAACTTCAATTAGACATCCATAGAGTGAATTACTCACTACTGACTAACTCACCCAATTTCATTCACTTCCTATAATTCTCCAATGATGCGAGGCCAGAGTATACCGTTAGCGTAGAAGTGAGCGCCTTTCCATGTGCATTCATTAAAAATGCATGAGTATAAAGGTCAGTCCGGTTTCGTACTAATCCGAATAATCGAATTTGTACATAGTTTTGGAGATACATAACACGCTATGGGCCTCTGCTTTGGTTTTAAATTCAATAAGATTTATTGGTTATAGTCCAAACGAGACGATAGATTGACTGTTTATAAGACGAGACATTTTTTATATTATTATATATATATATATATATAAAAAAATGTAAATATAATTAATATATATTTATAAATATAATATAATAATATTATATTATTATTATATTTTTGTTAATTTATTAATTCAGAAAATACATTAATACGTATAATTACTCTTGTGCAATCTGAACGAGTATAGCATTCTACCAAGGTGTTTTATATTACATAAGTTAACATTTGCAAAACAAAAAAGCAAGGAAACATAAAGCCATTTGTTTAATTAGTCGTACAAATTACCACATAATTCAGTTGTAATTTTTTATGTATAAATATCGATTAGAGAGAATACTAAGAAAATAGGTAAAACTAAGAAACATACTATAAAAAATTACTATCCATGATTACAACTGGTGCTAGCGGTACGTTGCGTCGGTACGTGATTTAAAATCGATCGATCGATTCTCCTTTTACTTGCGATCTACTTTTCACAATTTTAGTTCACAGTGTGACCGCGAATTGTTACTCCAACAGAATTTCATGTACTAAGTTATAATTGCCGTATGATCATAGTTCAATTTTGTAAAATGCACGATAAGGGATAAATTTAAAAAATATAATTTCTGAATTAATGCAGTTCATTATCAAGTGTATGATAATGTGAGCACATTATCATACACTTGATGATGAACTGCTGCTTTAGAACCACTGCATCTATTTGCATGACTTTTTTGTTGTTTTTGAACTCTCAACATTTGCTTATAAGAAAGGTAAATATAGATTAATATATTTATATACGGGTACATAAATATTAATAGAATTTACAGATTAGAGTGCAACTGTTCAGTTTCTTATTTCTGGAAAATTAAGTTATTTACATTATCAATGCGACGCCAGGGCACCTATTTAAAGATACATAAAGACATTGTTAGCTTAACTAGTTTCACCAGTATGTAGGTATTACATTAGTACATTACAAAAATATTAAAAAATATTTAGACAAAAATATTCAAGTGATGACTAAGATGGTCTTAAGAGCAAGTCATTACTTAATAAAATCTGAACACTCAAGCAACATTTCAAAGCCTTATTAATGAGTGACGTTTCCCGTGTGCAATTTTTTCTCCAATTTATTTAACATTTTATGTAGAATATTTTAAATGCTCCACCTGATGGCAATCCTTGCCTACATATAGGAATAGCCATATGGCCTTCTTGTTGTCTTGTGACTGCTTGACGGTAAAAAGAAGGGGTACAAAATGTACATAAATTACTACAATACCCTAATATAATTAAAATATCTTGTAAGAGAAACAACAGAAAGAAAACAAATTAAAGATGCTTTCTCTGATATAGAAGACAATAAACAGGAATTCAGAGCGCCCGAAACAGATTAGCAAAGCCCATTTTCTTTAATTGATCCTACCGAAGATCGAACGTGCGTCATCATTTATGCGAAACAACGTGCTTAACTTCTAATTGGGCTATAGTCCTAAAGTCGTGATATTTTAGTATCAATAAATTCATTCATTTTCTTATCAAACTAAATGTTAGTTGGTGGACATGTATATGGCGCTAAAGCCACATTTTATACATGTTTAATTTGTATATATAAATACTAGCTGTACACGCGGTTTCACTCGCGTTACTTTCAATAAAAAATATAGCCTATTTGTTATTTTGATGCATAAACTATATATTACTGTAAAATTTCATCAAAATCCGTTCAGTAGTTTTTGCGTGAAAAAGTAACAAACATTCATACTTACAAACTGTCGCGTTTATAATATTATTAAGATAAAGTTAAACAAGAGCCGCGCCCATTATAATTAAATAAAAAAACAATTTACACGCGTAGTCCTATATATGTTTCTAGCTAAAAATTAAGGTTTTTTTTAATTTTGTATGTTGTCTGTGTATTTGAGCTTACTTTACTGATTTGAACGCGATTTTAATTGCGTTGTAGAGTGTATCCCGTGACAATCAATGTTGTTTCATCCAATTAATTTCGCTATTCTAGAGTAGAGTAGATAGTGGAGTATATTAAATAATTATTACTATTCATGTAAGTTTCGATTTTGTCCAACAAATAGCAATAAATGTAGGAGGTGTTGTTTAATTTGTGCACCAAAATTGCCTAATTACTAAGCAATCATAGTGAGAAAAGGCTTCTGTGGATCAAATTAATAACAGGTAGGCTAAATATCTATTTTTAACAGACTAATAATATGAATTTGAGATTAATTTAGTTGCTATACTAGTGTAATTATACTTCTAATCTTATATACGAGTATAAAATTCTTGTGTTACAACGTTAGTTACCGTACTCCTCCTAAACGATTTTTATGAAATTATATATGCATATTCAGTAGGTCTGAGAATCGGCTACTATCTATTTTTCATACCCCTAAGTGATAAGAGTTTCTTCTCTTGATAAGATCCTTTTTTATTTTTGTATAATGTGACATTAAAAAGTAAATACAACCCAAATATAATAATATTCAAGTCTTCATTTCAACGATAAATAGTAATAAAATTACTTTTTAGAAAATTGTTTTATTTTCTGTTAAAAACTATCAAACAGTTAGATCTAATCATTAAAGAGCCATAAATTAGAGCAATAATTAATTATTAATTATCTTTTAATAAATTAAAGAATTACATCTACATACAAGTATCTTGTATGGATATTTTTTAACAGAAATTTGTATTGTTATTAAGTTAACAAATTTTATTATTATAGTCCCGGAATATAATAATAAAAAAGTATACTCAAGTGAATACTTGCCTTTAAATCATCATTTAATATAATAAAAAAAACTTATTTGAAAAGCTCATAAAAGAAGTATTATTATTAAGTAAAAGTCACAATTTTTATAAGAAAGGTAAGTACTTACATAGAAAGTAAACAAAACATTCTTACCTTCGCCAGCACTTTGTTTCGTATTGATTTCAAACGAAAACAATTTCTCCGTGTCATTGTGAGGTATCTTCATGGATACACCTTGAATCAGTTCCACTTTTTTCATAACAGCATCTTCAGGTAAGATTGAATGTCCATTTTGAGCGGTCACCAACGCAACGTTTAAAGATAAAACGACGCAAGCGCAGAGACAACATAACGCGCGCGCCATTCTGTCGAGTGGCAATGGATACTCTGATTAACCAACTCTTCATGAGCCCCCACCATCAATAGTTCCACATTATAAACTTGTAACTGTATCGAGGCGTAGTGCTCCCCAATATATTGAAAAATGTAAACGCAAAAATTACATCACTATCGTTGGTGGGTACTTAAAAAGATGCAAGTTATATTTCTAAATATATCTTTAATCCCATGCGTATAGAGCATATATTTACTTTTTTAGTTTATATATCTAATATTAAGTAACTAAGTATTTACATATCTAGATCAATGCTTCCGTGGTGATTAGTGTCGGTGATCGATAGCTCATATCGATTTTTTCTAAACTGAATCGATTTCGAACTAAACGAGTTCATCCTGCATGAATTTACCCGGAATTAGTAATCTGGTTTTTGTTGAGTAAGATTAAATTATACACGTTTTCACTCCTGTATATGGATATAGAACAATTTTCTGTGTTTATATATATTTCTTTTTAAATTAGTTTTATATTAATATATACATATACATCATGAAAGTAGAAAGTAAACCTGTCGAGTACTACCTGCTAGATAACCTAGTTTGATTCAATATGAAGTTAGATAGGTATTGCATTGTGTACGTATTTATATACATATATATATATATGGTACTAATCTTGAATATCATCATTACGTAAGTACATATATAGTTTTAAAAATATGTGAGAACTGAAATAATTAGTTAATATGGGATTATATAAACATGTCACCGTATTTATAAGTAACTATAGCTACGGAAATGTCTTTTTTCTATGTTATCTTCCTAATTGGAAAGACAGATGACATAATAATTCAATGCCTACAAACTGTTAAGTAGGTTTTTAGTGACTAATTTTTAGGAACAAGAGAGATATCTATTAATATATTTGTCTTATTACTTAATATCAAAATAAGAATACGATCCGTGTATCTTATACAAAAATGACATATATATAATATAAATATAAAATAAAGTTTTAATTCGCTGTAAGAACCACTTGTTTAATCCTGGAGTATAAGATTGCAACTGTAGCCTCTACTATATAGTGTTTGTTTCATTAGTACCTATTATATATTTTCTATACCTCCCTAGGGTCTTTTCCAGGTAGGGGATACTCATTCTATTATCATGCACTGGAGACCTGCCAGATTGCCGTTAACACACGCAGAAGCACTATTCTGTTACATGCATCAATAAAATAAATAGACACTTACATACAGGTATAAAATCTGTATCTATTAATTTTATAATAATAGGACTCTCTTTGTTTCATAGAAGAAAAAATTGAACGTCATTTTCAGATATTGCAGGCTAGCTTTATTTCATAGAGTCTCAGTTGCCAAGTGTGTGATGCCATGTTTTATTTGACGTTTATATCACATTTACTGCTCGTTGCTCACTTTCAGTTCTTTGACATTGGACTATGAAAGTAATTAACTACTCACTCCGTCGACTATGTATCTTTGAAAGTAAGATCATAAACATAATTAAGAATATATTTTTACATTTTCTTCAGATTTTAGTCTATTAAATAAAGTACACAACAAACATATTAAATGTTAATATATTATCAACTTCACGTAACATTTAGACATACTCGTGTTTACAAAATTAACCATATTATTGTTTATTATTTTGTATTGAAATGGCAAAATAAGTTTAAATAAGAGAATTAAAATAACAACACAATTTGTGTACATATAATAAAAATATTACTTATGCTATCCTAAATGAAAAATATATGAATATAACTTTTACTTATCAATGTAAAATAAAACCTAAAATAATGTGTCAGAATCTTGGCCTGATGATCTGTACTTTGCATGATAATGTTTAAAACGGTTTAACCGATTTCGGTGGGTTTTATTTAAATATATTGTAGTAGATAAGCTTCAATTAAAAATAATATTCGTCCTATTCTAATCCGGAATAAATACAAACGAAATAATAATACCTACAGCTTAGCTAATTATTGTATTTTTTTCCCAAATTATATTATAATAAATATTACTATAGGTATTTCCTATAGACGAGAAAATACACGTAATTTAAATTATTCAGATGTCCCTTGTTTTAGAGATAAATCTTGTTATGCAACTTTACCACAGCTTGGAATACAAATTGGTTGATAAACTTATAAGAATTTAAAGAAATCAAGTAGTCCTCAGCCTACAAACTGGTTTACAAAATTATACCTACTTCAAGCTACCATTTCAATGGCCACAACCAACTTTCATTCTTATACCGTGCCCCAGAGAAATTCTCCATAATGTTACATAAAAACGTGCCAACCATTATAATGGCAAAGTACTTTATATATTGTTCACATGAAATCCCTCAAAACAGTATTATTGCATAAAAAGATATCACTTGCATGCTTGTGAATGTTCTATTGTACAATAATGTCAATAATGAAATAATTCTAGTAATACTGAAGCCGTGATGACAGATAAATCATACCACTTTGTTATCATTTTAAATATAAGCTAAGGAATTTTTCTTAGAATACTGTTAAGTATAATGATGTAAACTCGCAAGACATAGTATTACAAATACAAAAGTTATTTAAGAAAATTATTAAACTTTTACATTAGTTAAAATAATTTAAAAAATACATTTAGTTTTATAGGACAGCGCCTTAAAACTAAATGTATTTTTTAATTATTTACTACCTTAATACCATATTACCACCCTAAAATTGTGCGTTCTAGTTTGGGCGAAACAAAAAAGTTTGTATCAATTTATATTTCTGAATAACTCTCCCGTGACGAAAACGTCTGAAACATAATAAATTAATTCGACAGATTGCGTTAGGCTAGCTCTGGCCGGGCTATCATATACCAACCCTGAGAAATGTGGCCATGTCATGTTTAATTATCCCATCTGGGATAACAGTAGGGAAGCTTTATTATTACTTTTTAAGCAACGTCATACAATTGACTTTAGTTAAGTATTTTATCTTCTAATTTAGACAATTTCAGTTCGTTTGACTTAATATATTCTCGCATTTTATTTTTCTCATTTTCTATGTTTTAATGGTAGTCATTTTAGTGAGTTACCTGTTATGTTTATGAACGAATATGGAATACTGCGCCTGACTGCTGACCGTTTTTACCCTAAAGCTGAAATAAGTATGTTGGATTAATAGAGACCAAAGACGGTGTTGGAAAATATGGCATGATAGATTTCGTGGGCGTGTTAATTAAATAAATAATATTATTTACCCTTGTCATGCGATCTACAAGATAATTAGGATGTGGGTATATGTAGTGCCGACTACGATTATTATTATACTCGTAGATTTTATTTCGACATTCATCACGACAACTAATTTCCTGGTATTATATATTTCCTGGTATTACATTTTTATAAGCTACGAGCTACCAGTATTCTCATATGCTACACTTACATAGTGAATATAATTCCTATTCCTTTATGCTTGCCACGTGTTAAATCATATATACTCGTGAACGTGTGCTACTTGTGGGGAAATGGTCATTAAAATTATGTCTGTTGATTGAATAATCTCTATTTAATAAGAATTAATATAATTTAATAGCATATACTAATAGTCGCTGTATCCAACCGAAATAAAAAAAAATTGTATAGTATTATGATGATATACAATGGCATTAGAAAAATTGGCAAAAGTGATTGCTAAGTTTCTTGTCGGTTCTTCTTGGTTCGGGCTACATCGCGAGAACTGACGATAGATTTGACTTCTCATAAAGTTATGTAAAGATATATTTAATTTTATTAATTTTGATTTCATTTATATGCTCTATAACAATTTTTTAAATAACAATTGTCTCATTGGTTGCGTCTCAGTTTATTCAGTGCCATGATTATTAATTAATTAAAATAATTATGTCGAACTAGCTTTTACTCGCATCGTCTGCATATTTTTAAATAAAAGATAACCTATGTCTGTCCTTCTAATAGGGATAATCTATCTTCACTTCAAATTTCATTAAGATCCGTTCAACCGTTTAATCGTAAAAGGCATGTATGTAATAATATGAGATCCATACATATCTGTCGATAGACACAGATATTTTCGAATTTTTCCATTAGTCTGATTTATTGAATAGGGTTTGTAAACTGGTCTTGGTAACTACGCTATTCTCAATATTGACAAGTAAAATCACTGTTCATATTTAATAGATGTTTAATAAATAAATAAATAAAAATTTATAATAACAATATTCGTCGTCTATTAATCACAATAATTTCAGAAGTTTGTGAAAAACAGACGAAGATTTTTGCGAAAGAAACTTTACGTATTTCGAAAGCACTCTTAAGTAATTGTAAGTTCCTATCACAAAGTTATTCCGTTCAAATTGTTTACATTACAAATTAACTTACGTACTTAATATATTTTTCTCTGAATTTATTTCAGTCATCATTACAGTATATTCGTTAAAAAAATATGTAATTAGACTTTTAAATATTAATAAATGCATTAATTCGTGGTTTCATTGTTCCTTATCGCTGAGGTAGCACATAGAACGATTGAATGGCGTTACATCACTAAAATATCGATTCTTTCTAATCGGAAATCGGGGCTTCGTTGTCAGATCTTGCCCACGGAGAAAGGAGTGGGCCTGATGCTGGCCAGGGGCCCGTTACAGGAGCAGGAAGTAGTTCAGCTCGAGGATGAAGATGTACCAGCGGAGAGGGAGCCGAAGCCGCGAAGAAGAGACGCGATACAGCCTAATAAGTAAAAAAAAATGATACTTATCTATTATTTATCTATATTACTTATATAATTGACGACCTCGTGGTCTAGCGGTCTAGCACACCGCTTTACGACCGATGGTCGCGGGTTCGATTCTTTGCACGGCACAAACATTTGTATTCATGAGTATGATTGTTTGTATCGGTCTGGGGGTTTTCTACGTATAATATGTATGTATTTACAAAAAAAAAAAATATGTATATGTATCAGTTATCTAGTACCCATAACACAAGCTTTAGCTAGCTTAACTTGGGTCTAGATGGCATGACGCTATGTGAATTGTCCTGAGATTATTATTACTGTTTTTTCTGTTGTCTAGTGAGGTAGACTTTGTACTATATCATCTGAGTTTTTAGCTGTGCCATCATTTCAGTCACTTAGCAGCTTGCTGTGCAAGATGTGATTCAATTTGAAAGTTAACCATCATAGGGTGCGTTGGTTGGACTACCTCGGACCCTTGAAATGGCAACGCATGAGGAATATTATTACATGATGATGTGATGTCCCTGCTAATCAGTATAGGGAACGTTTAACACTTTCCATCAGGTATACCGTAAATCGTTATATGCCGTTACTGGTAAGTAACATAAAAATTGTACGTCATGAAATTACATAAAAATACATCAATTAATCTTAATAAAATAGGTTCTTGTAAAGATTATTTTAATAAGATAGCAAATAAAAATCATTTGCATCTCACTGAGAATTCCATTACTCAATAAAAACAAAAAATTACCTGACTAACGGCAACAATGAGCAACATTACTCCAATGGCGAGATTCTTGACGGAAATTACGGCAAGAGCCATAAGCAGCGTTGATATGACGCCCAGGGTAAACATAACTGGCAGGAATATGAATGAGAGCCGTTTGAGAGCATTGTGACCAAACGTGCGGCCGACGTTCACATCTGAAATATTTATCAATCAACATGTTGACATATTGTAATGACTGACTGGTAAAACATAGACTGGAAGCATCTAGAATATTCTACATCCGTTAAAAAGCTTATGATATGCTTTTATTCTACACTATCTAATTGATCCAGCAGACGTTTTAAGGTAAGCTGTTTATCAAGGAAACTTGCATATATTTTAAAGTAATAAAGTTTAATTAATTTTAGGACTCACCCTTCTTTCTTTATTATATCTATTGTGTGTAGTCTATATTAAAATGATATATATTATTTGAGTATTAATTTTTATAATTCGCTTCCTTATAAAAACCCATCTACGTTGATATTACAAAGAGCTAAATTCTCATTTAAACTCTGTCATAGGAATGGTAAAGGAGTAAGAGAACCCAAGCGTAATAAAATACTAATTAGCAGAAATAAAAATTTAGTTACAATATTAAAAATGTTACAAATTTGATCGAAGGAAGCGTTTAATTTTATGAGTAAATTGATGTAATCTTTTGTTAGTGATTACGCAGGAGGTAAAAGTACAAAATTTGGTTATATTCGGAAGTGTTGGCGTTACATAATACATGTAATTAATTAACACATTAGAGTTAATAATAGAAATATTAGTATTCAATTAATAAAAGCTTCAACGTTCCTGCAATAACATTCTATCATGATTCTAAATGTGTATACCAATTAAACCATTTCTAATGAGACATACGTCAGCATTTCAGTCATGTGAATACTTAACCTTAACGAAATCCAATCAACTATTTTCTAATGCTGACGTAATAAATTATATTAATTGAGATATTTGAGTATTATTAGATTTAAGATTAAGATAACCTTAGACTATTATATCATTATAAGATTGTATTTTAAGATTAGTATAATGTCTAGTAATATTAAATATAAATACGATACTTATCAGAAGAACCACAATTTTAGACCATAATTCATTACAACGAATTCAAAGGAGTTAGGCTTTTATAAAAATAGCATCCTATTTTCGAGAAAACGGGAAAATGATATCAATAAAGTGATATTTTTGTTAGTGACAAAGTTTATTTTCATCATTAATTATGTCCAGAGATAATTCGTGTAAAAAAATATTCTATGTGTAGTCTAAAACATGATCTATTAGTGTGCTAAAATTTCATTTAAATATGTTCCTATGTCAAATAGTGTAACTATTCGATGTTCATCATACAAAGTTAGCACGACGTATGTCCAACATGAACTCGTTTTCAAGGGATGTAAGCGGGAAATTAAGGGACTTTGCGGTGTGATCTCGCCAATAGATAATCGCGACAATAGATAATATACTACCCAGTTGTCCAAATAATGTTGTTTGAGTGTAGCTTAACACAGCATAATTATGTACATTAGAATAGAGCTAGGTTCTTCATTGACATTCTGCTCAAGTAATTATGATAATAATCTACTAACTCTCTGACGATTATGATACCGATAACAAACTTAACTGGCTTAAGATTATAAGTTTCCAAAGTGTTTCTGAGGTACCATAGAACTACCTGAGCAAAGGACGAGCTCGCAACTCATTGATATCTTCCGTAGCGCAGTTGTAGACGGTACGTGTCTATGCATAAATAAAGTCTAGTCTATTGTGTCCGATCAAATCAATACAGGAAAAGAAATACATCGACTAATATCCAGTTCTAAGCTATATATAAAAATATTTGACTAGCCAGTCTGACTTTGTTCTGTCTCAGTCATTAAAATTTCCGTTCCTTTCCAATCTTCATAACAAGCTTCTACGAAGTATTAGAAAATAAAACTAGATGAATAATGTCTTTTAAATAGTTTTTAATATATGGGATCAAAGGCAATAAGAATTAATTTTTAAATATACATATGGTGTAAATGTTATTGGAATATATGTGAATGTAGTTTAAAAGTTGCAGTACAGGTGATATAAGTCGTACATAATTGTAAAACCTTATATTTCAATTTATTTAATACATACAAACAAAAGTAAGTACTATGATATACTAAGTACCCGATATTTTCTGTGTTTGAAAAGAAAAATGTAATCAAGTGCTATGTTGCTACCTGTTGAGAAATCAATTAGTCTTACACAGTACAGGCTTTGTCTTGTTTGTGTCTGGATATTCTTGTCAAATGACCAGAATTATTTCTTTTCTTGTGCCACACATACATCCATAGATTATATAGTAGGTATCCACAGAGTATAGTGTAGTGTAGCCAGTTAATAGAAGTTATTGAAACAAGTTATCTGTCTTCTTAGGAGTCTAGATGGAAATATGAGATAGGTCTGAGGGTAGTTAATTATTTATATGTTTACCTTTGCTTAGGAAATCCACAACACTTGGAGACTTATTATCATCGACATCACATTGAACCACTGCCAAAAATGTTACGAGATACATTAGAGTTAACACTGACATTTTGTTGCACATTTTAGCTCCTGGGACCTAAGACAAGGTGATCGGCTAACGACGGTTCGATTATTACTGATGGGTTTTTTTATCGATGCCAGGATATAAAGTGTCCTCCGGAAGACAATGGTCGGTAAGACCAAACAAACGCGACAAAAGAAAGCGCAGGACAACGTGACCGTGCGGTAGAAATGTCGCCCTCGATTATCAAAGACAGTGGTCCTCAAACCCTCTGTGTATAGAAAATATCCTTCATAGAATGAATGGACTGTATGCAAAATATTAATCAAACAATGGATAGAAAATGATAATTACTAATAATGAAGGTACAAACACAAACAACAAGGTACAATATAAGAAGGTACAACAAGGAAAAAGTGAAAATAACAAATATGACAATTCTAAAACTCTAAATAAAATACATTCAAAATCAGGGGAATACATTGTGATTAATATGATACATGATATTTGTTTTATACAGTTTCTTCATTGAATATGTTTTTGTATATTATGTGAAATTTTCCCCTAGAATAAGGACCAATTGAGAAATTTATTATCCTTGAATTTATCTACCACATTTTAATCTTAAACTGATGTACAGCTTCCAAGCTGTTTGGCAACTAAAATAGATGCCCAAGGCGGTACTCAAGTAGACGGCCATGTAAACAGTCTACTACAGTAAAAACAACGAAATAATCTTTAAAATACAATGTAATTGCAATTCTATAAACTATTTGATTGATAGTTTTGTATGATTTCAAAATATGTGTACAGTTTGAGAACCCCCATAGTAGACTACTTAAGGACTAATATTGAATCATTAACAGCCTGTACTCCCATTGGACATTGAGAACGACAAGTGATGCTTATCGAAGTAAAGGAGTGGGTGAAAGTAATGATTTAAATGGAGTTACTATGAACCACTACAGCACCATACTAGTAGTGATGTAAATTATTACATATCTGTAGATGGAATCTTTTGTGATAGATTATTGTATTAAATATTTTTAAAGTCGTATTATCTTACTAATATTATAAACGTAAAATGTAGACGCAAGATGTTTGTTACGCAAAAACTACTTGATGAAACTTTACAGTGATATAGATTATGCAGAAGAATAACACATGGGCCACAAGCATGCGGGTGAAGTTTCACCCACATAGCACAGCACAGCTAGCATTTAATAAATTTATATTAGTGAATATACCTACTTATAGTGATAAGGAAAGTTAGTTATGCATTCGGTAATAAATGAAAAGTACGAGGAATATGATTATTACATATTTAGGTACTGTAATAATAACAAACGTAGCGTAGTAACGTAGCTGTTTGTAGATTACTGAATATTTAAATCTAAATCAAACAATTTTCTGCAACTATACGACTACTTATAACTGTAATACTATAAATAGACATCAACTTGTTATTATGATAATCTACTCGTATATCCAACCTCACGATATAACTTATCTTCCCATTTAATTAAGATCCATTGAGTCGTTAGTCTTGAAAAAGTGTTAAAGAACCAAATAGATACCGAAAGTGTATCTGTGATATCCGGTTGATTTATGATATTAGTATGGATTACTAAAATATGAAGAATATTATTTTTCGATAATTAAATGAAAAGAAACCTAAGTACTAAAAATGCCAATTAGATACAATAATGAATAGCAAATGTACATTACCTACGTGTACCAAAGATATCATAAACGCTGATGATAAAAAATAATAATGAGATCTCTCAAGCAAGTACTTAAAATGTCAAGTCCTGAAAATAGCGTTATTGGTGTTGTAACAGGCAAATAAAAATATACTAAATTTATATTAAAGTTATTTTAGGCCTGTTCTTGTACGAATTAGTTCTTTACCTGGACACTTCAGAAAATCTCTGTTAAGCTAATATTTTCCTCCTTTTTATTAATTATATAAATATTCCAAAACACTCAAATTGCAATAAATGGGTTGTTCTGATTATATTATGGTTACAAACTTGTTATTATATATATAAATAAATTAATATTAATAAATGTAATGAGTTTACCTGTCGTAATTTACCTGTTGTAAGCTATACCCAGGCTAAGGCCAGAGCTTTTGTAAAAAAAACAAAGTCTAACATCTCTATACTCAAAATATTAATTATATCATTAATTTATCTAACAATTTTTATAACAATATTTATGTAATACACGCTAGTTTATGTAATCATTAAATAACATTCGTAAAAGCGCGAAATGACGTGACGTGAAGGTATTACAATAAATTACTATTTTATTCTATTTAACAAATCTATCACGCTATGGTAATGGTTTTGTTAGAAGTAAAATTAGATGCTTTACGAATATGAAAAGATCCTTGACTTAGTACGCTTTAGCTTTTGGTGTCTGTTCATAATGATTATTTCTTCTAAATACTTTGCTTAATCATAATTCGTCAATAATAACACCCAGTAATTAAAATTTCTATCTATATTTTAATTTTTAATGATATGGTATTAGAAAGTACGTACAGCCTTAACAGCTAGTTGTATATAATTAGTTTTTATAACTTCTAATAAAGTCGACCGGAAAGCAATCAATTTGCAAATTTATTTGCCATTTTTAACAACATTTTTACATATTGCGTTATGTTACGTTACTGTAATCTTTTAAGTTATATAAGATATAATGTTAATTCTGACATAATTTTATGTAATTTAATTATTAATATAAATGCCATTTGCATAAAATATTACATCATTTTAATATCCTTTATGATTGGCCCCTTCCGCTTCTTTTCTAATCCTTCCCGCAGCTTCGGACTTGAATTCATCAGAGATCCACTAAAATATATAACTGACTATGGACATTCACCACTGTTTATAAACAATCGAAAGTATATATTCCAGAAGTAAATCAACGACTACTGAAACTAAACAGGGAAACCTCAAAATAATTATAGGGACAATAAGGGGCCACCGTCCTTTTAACAAAGTATTGATCTTGGAATGCTTAGCAGTGGCTACACAACGTACACAAATCCACGGAACAGCGAAGTCACTCCGTGAAGCCAGGAGGCTTTTGCGCAGCATCTTATAGTACTCTCGGCTCTACATTAGTCCAAATGAGAGATAAAAGCGGAAATAGAATTCAACATATGATACGATACAATACGATATCCTTTATGATTGTTAACGCTCGAATTCTTAACTACTAAAGCGCGCGTACTATTGGTGGCATAATTGGATTGGAACTTACCATTTGGATAAGTCAATATCTGATTTAATGTACATAATATTGAAAAATAATACACAAATTATTCATTTTTTTAATTATGTAGACATATACCGAAACATTACAATAATTTTCTAATACATCTGTCATAGATAAGTGATAGAGCTATATTGTATTTTGTTTCATTATTATAAATTTATAAATTCGAATCGTGGCCCTTATATGCATATAGAAGATATAAAAACAAAATTTTTGGGTCAATATTTAATTCTTATGGTTGCATATATAAACATATCAATATAAATTTAACTAATTACCGAAAGACTAGAGCGTTTAATTTTTATATTTACGACCAAAGACTATCTACCAAACAGAACATTACTAGTCATGGCACGTAAAGAAAGAAATCTGGTGTAGAAGCGCGACATTGCGCCCGCGCACGCCGCGCGCCGCTGCGTCCGTCCATGACCGTGCTTATGCTAATTGCAGACTGTATTCGGCAAAATGGGTCATTTCCTGCCAATAACAAATGCAGAAAAAAACGCATGCAGTAGTTTCCAAAACCGTATCACCCAGAATTTTGATTTACTTTCTTTTGAGAATCCGTTTAAAACGCACTTTTTAAGGTTGAATGAATTGCAATGTTGCAATGGAGCCCACATCTTATTGAAAATGCAATGTAGGTACAGCAGGTGAGACGAAAATATCTGTTTTAAACCGACTTTAAAAAGAATCAATCATACTTTTATTTTGTTACCAGAATTTATGTTATGATTACGTAGGTACTTATCACTAAAATATTTTTTTTTTCTTTATCATAGGTCTTCTAATTTAGTTTTATAAGGAGCACTTGTGCTAATTTCATGAAGAGTAATTGAATATAATCGCATCTCTTAGTGGTCGCAGTGACAATAAAGTGGACATTTTACTTTTATACAGTCGTCTAATTCTTTATATTATTATTTTATTCATGTAAAACTTTCAGATATCATTAAAGTTAATATTTGTCATTAAAATTTAGTTAAATCTGGAGCATGAAAAATTACAGCTATGCGGTCGAATTGGACCCATACAGCGAACTCGTTTTTGTATCGTAGACCCAATTACTTTTTTCCCCTTTTTTCGACAACCGGTAATAACTAACAGACCACATAACTGTACATACTGATTTAATATAAAACAACTACACTAAAACGTAAATGAAGTTATTTTAAAAACTATCTGCTGCATGCTTTATGACTTTGAAAATGTAAACGGCAAATATCGTAAATATTATCTGCTTATTTAACTTAACCAAGCAATTTTCTGTGTAAGATGTGTTTCGAAAGACATGTAAGTTTACAGAATAAGAGATGTGACCTCTTAGTCCTGAATGATGCACTCGTTTGTGCTAACTAGATGGTGTCGGAGCACCAGTGGATAATATTAGGATGAGACAGGTCAGCTAGCCCAGTTGTCTCATATCCATAATTGTCCATTATCCATAAAATAAACATTAACAGGAATACATAGTCATTTCTGCAATGTGTTAGTACTAAATTTTTGCCAAATATTGTCATGTTTAGTTCAGCTATAAAAAAATCTAAACAAATTGACTTTCATTTTTATAATGTTACCAAGGACGGAAGCTAAGGTCATGCAAAATTGTCAGGTCAATTCTCATATAGTACAAATTTAGTAAAATTACTAATTTTACTATTCAAACCGGTTTATATATTAGTCAGGCTTCAATAAATGGCCAGAAATAAAAACAGGGTACTACGTACTGCCAACTACACAGTATCTTATATGTCGTCTATCCAGGCCAGACACATAAAATTCTAATACCGAATAAGACAAAAAATCATTCGTACGATTGAAATATTTCATCGTTTATTCACTTTCATTCTATAAGAAATGCGATAGGCGTGAGTACCTACCACCTGCGAGTGGTGTGGGGCGAGTGGGCAGCCTCAGTAGAGCTACAGCGATGCGTGCGCTTGCCGCTTTAACCACGGTAAGCGCGTGGTGCTTTGCGCTGGCACTAACTGAGACGCGATCTCGGGAGGCTACCTCGCCATTTCTACTCAATATACTAGGCCTTAAATCTCAAATTCCAGTACACCGGCTGTTCGCATGTGGCAAAACACTCGGACCCACAAAATGTTTAAGCGCTTTAAGTGCATGGCGTGCCAAAAATGCCATAGACGCCTTCCAGAGAGATCCACAGACGCGATTCAACTTGACATCTGACATCGAACAATTCCCGTGGGAGCTGTATTCCAATACTACAGAAGATCAATTGTACTCTGAACTGTGCAGTGGCACAGAGAAGTTACTACAATATAGGACGTTGAAGTTTACATTGGTGCCTGGTTATACATTAAAGCTGGATTCTAACGGAAATGGGACCTTAGGTGTTGATGTTTTAAGAAGTAAGTCATCTACTTTTTATGTTTATATGCTTAACTTTAGTTTTGGGTTAAACGTAAGCATTGGGTTCAATATAGCATTTTAACATCTCATAAACGCTAACTTCTGTATACATAGCCTATAATTTATATAAAGCTAAAATCAACATTAGTCTTAAATTAATTTAAACTTAGGTTTAACATCAACTTTTCGTAGAACAAACCGTCAATTTACTTTCCACAAAAATTTTGCTACAAATTACATATAGTTATACCAGTATAATTAATTAAATTTATTATGTTTATTTATACTATAATTTTAATGACGTTCGTTTTTATCATTAATCAAAGAATCAATATCAAATATAATAATACTCGTATATCACACGCGATAAACAATTAATGCTCGTAATGCGTTACATTAGTCTCATTACTTAATAAATAACTACGCAGTGTTGATGATAGAATCTGTAATTGTTTAAGTTATTAATTAAGTATACTCATACTATATTTAAGTGTAGTATAGCTTGTACGAGAGTACTTTTACTCTATTTAATCTAGAGAAAAATTTCTACATTCATTGAACTACGTGGAGTCAAATGCACATACGCTATTTTTTTCTTTCGCTAGTTGGATACTGAGATATTTAAACAAATTTCTGTTTAACTTTGAAGCAAAGTGAACATCATTGTCTGCAATATCCTAAAAATGTTTGCGTATTATGGGGGGTTTTCTGCATTTAATCTGAACGGTCAAGTTACTCAGTTACAGTGTTACTGTGGAACTACTCATATTGTGCATACAAAAAACTCAATAGTCACAAATAAAGTAGATTTATTATTAAAATAAGGACGCACATTAAATTTTGAGGAAATTTCATTACTTAACGGTTTTATATTATTTTGAAATCCTAGTATAGACTGTTTGGAGGCATAGTCGCCTCATTTAGATGCAAAACACGTGTCGCAATATGGATGTAGATCCAATATCGGTCGAAATTTGATTACTAATATGGCAGGTAATAAAGCTTCCAGTAGCAGTGATTAAGTTACCGTACTGAATATTTGTGGACTCATACACTCTAATGGTAGTGTTGTTATATAAAATAATATAAATTAATTGAGTGAAACTGATTGATGAACTGCTCCAACAGAACTCAAATATAAAAAATTTTAGAAAAAAGATATTATAATTTTTTCTTTCATGTGGAAATTCTTTTATTAGTAGTACTATATTGTATAGTGCTGCTACTCTAGCTGGTAATACTTGTGTTGTTGTTAAAATATACGTCATACTCAATGGTACAGTCTTCATTGCGTGAAATGGTTAAAATCTACTTACCTTTCAACATTAAAACGGTATAATCGATGCGCTCGGGTAACCATGTGTTATCGAACGGTACATATAAAAACTTTCTTAACTAGTAATACATTACTTCATTTGCATTAAAACGTCATGTTTCTGTACTATACTGTAGTCATTAAAGATAAAAATGGATATTAATGTTTGAGCACCAAATATAATGGACTACATCATGGAAAGTTACCGTCACATTCGTTTTTTGATTATTGCAAATGCTTTGATATGTATTGTTAAATCTATGTATAATATCGCTACTATCAAGAATTATAATGCCAAAATAATAATTTAAACAGTTATACTTAAAATTTTACTAGTCTTTTTTATACCTTGCATATTAATTTGTATTAGGTAGCATTTACTTGCACAAAAAAATATTATACATCAATTATATAACACTAACAGTTATCGACGACTTCATCTGTTTTTAAGAGATAAAAGTTCCTGTTCATCCTTCTAATATAATCTATGTTCACATAAAATTTAATAAAGATCAGTTCACTCGAAACAAAAGACAGGAATTTGTAATTATATTAAGCACATTGATAGTACCTATAGAAATAATTATAGTATTGCCCAATTCATGCACTTTTAGTTTGCAATGCAAGTTTATAATTAACGTTGATAGCATTAAAATATTCCGGATATTATCATAACATATAGCTACCATCTTATCCGGTCTTAGTCAATGAAATGTTGGACTCACGTTACCATTGTACAAAGACACTACAGGAAACGTCGTGGTCTAATTGTTTATTTCCACTATTTTAAAGACACGATGCCAACTCAATCAAAAGAAAGTCGTCGTGATTCCAAATATCGCTTACTCCAACAATTTTCCTATCTATTTAAATTTCTATTGGAGTCTCCGTTGGCGGTAAATACCGTTTACTAACCTAATTTACTCGAGACTACTATAGCCTTTCTTCCTACTACTTCCAAATCTACTTCGCAAAATCCATTAATCAAAATTTTAAGTATGTTATCTGTTTATAAGATTTCATTATCTATAATAATATGACGGAATGAATAAAGGCGTGCTTGACTGTCTGTATGTTGTTACCTTTTCACAACTAAGCGTCAGAACGAATAGTTGCTAGTAGTAGTCAAGTCTTTAACCTAAATAATAACTATATACAAAACCTGACAACGACATCTGTTATGTCGCCAATTGGTAACAAAGACTAAAACTCGAAAATATTACGCGTTTATGATATTAGTAAAGAAATGAATATAATTCCTTTATCTTCTAATTATTACGAAAGCTACTTAATACAAATTCACATTTAGTAGTATGTCCGATGTATTACTCTGGGCTTTATTTTTTTATGTCCAAGCAGAGCTTGTTAGATGTACTTACTCGTATTATAGGTATATTATATGTTTTTACCTCCGCCTGCATTAATATGCAAGAGAAGGGTATTGTCTAGCGACTCCTGTGAGGAGACTCATGTGTTGTCCATAATGTAATTCCTAACAATTAAGATATCAATTCCTTTATCCTATAATTTCACTAAAAGTGTTGTGAAATATGAGCAGCATTACTTTTTGTGTTATATAATACTTATGTCCTTGTATTTATTTACAGGCAATGAGGTTGAAACCGCTCGGGGCAGTATGAAGAAGAAGTTCTACAATATAGTACCATATTTATTATTGCCAGGACTGATAATGTCCGCCATCTTGCCTTTTGTATTGCCAGCCTTAAAGTTAATGACAATGGGTGTTGTCATGTTGAATAATATGGCATTCACTGGAGCCGTCTTCACTCTTCTAAGGAATAACGCATTTAACGACAGATACGAACATAAAGTCAAATATGTAAATGCTGGATACAAGAACGAACACCTTACTTATGATCATGACGATGCATACTCCCATCATTATAATAATTATGATATTAAACACAGCGTAGATCATGTGCATGAGGTTGTAGATGATCATGGAGAATATGAAAATGCTGAGGCCGTAGAAGAAATTCCTGCCAATTCAGATTGGTTGAAGCAATATTATAATGAACATGAATATGTACTTGCACCGCAAGAGTCTGTACATATTCAAAACAGAAAACTTTAATGAAAATTTTAGTTTAATTACTATAGGTACCTGTATATAATATTTGCTGCTAGTCTTTGCCTGTCTAATTTATTTTACTTGTAATTTTTTTATTTATTTTATAATTTATAAGGTTTAGCATAATTTTTTATAATATTAAAAAATAAAAATGCTGTTTTGTCCTTTAATTTAAATCAGTTTAAAATTCTTTTAAGTATTCCGTTTGACATAAATGTTGCTGGAGTTGTTCAATATATTCAATCTATATATAAAAAAAAGTATTAAGGAATAAAGAAAAGCTATTAATTACATGTATTTAATGCTACGGTTTCATATAAAAAATTAAAATAGCATTAAATATTGAATAAGTCTTTCTTCAGATACATAGCGTAACATACAATTAAAGCATAAACATACAATAAACATAAATAATTAGCAGAATATTTTAAAACCTACTTCAAACTTAACATAATTAGTATATACTATGCTAAATAAAAGAAGATATAGTGAGTAACAAATACATAGTCATATAATCCAAATAACACACACGCAAAAAATTATAATACAGATACTGTTGATTTTGGATTTAGTTGAATTTAAGTCAAAAACTGCTACAATCAAACGATCTGTGACTATCTGAGTTTACTTAGAAACTTCCGCTTGAACTTGAAAATTTTGGACCCTTTTCAAACATAAATAAACTTTGTTTGCCGTCACAACATAATCTTTAATTTAAAATGATATAAAATAAGCGAGAACAGTGACTATTAAAATATAAAAGGATAAAAACAAGGATTAATTCATACTCATTAAAACATTCCTCTCGTCCTGAAATAATCCCGTTTCTCCATCATGATTAAAGACTGATACTGAAAGGCAATTAAAATTGAATCTGGCGAGTTTCACTGTTAGAAATATGCAGAAAGAAGTTTCTGATATTAATAAAATATCTACGGAGTCAGCACAGAACAAAAAGGAAATTTGTATTTCTGGTGTGAACATCACAACAATAAACATCATTTAAGAATTTACTTAGTGTTTGGCATAACTATTACAGAAAAATATAATAGTTATTTACCTTTTTGGAACATTTCGATCATTCATCTACGCTTGGAACTGACAGCTAATCAAACAAAAAATACTTATTTATTGAAACCGATTGAACTGATTGATATTTCGGAAATTGAAATTCCGGATTCAAAGCACTTAAATATTGGTTAAAATTTTACTTTAGTCATGGCCGTTTGTATTTTATGTAGGCATAAGGTAATATAATTAGGAATAAACTTAGGTCTTGCACTGCTTCCTGTGGTCAAACATTCCTTATAAAATCCTTCCTCATTTGTTTGAACATTGGTCTAACTACCAATGTATCCAGCAGAAAACAAAAATAATAAGTTAACAATTAATTTTATGTGCTGGTCTGATAATTAAATTTTTTTCCACACTCTTCAACGATTTTATTTTTTCCATAGCAACAATACTAAGATGACAAGTCTTAGAAACTGTTAGAACTTTAAATATATCTATAGCTGTTCTTCTGTCAACAGTGACAGACGAACCAGAAGAACCAAGTACTAGTACACATTAAATAAGTCATCTATTGTACGTACAACAGTACACTGGAAGTTAATTCGTTATCATTATGAAATTTGGCATATCATTTTGTCCTAATAATTGGGAAAGAGAAGGTAATTATTACGTTTATATAATAATAAAAGCATATTAAAAAATTAACATATTTATTCAATCATATTAAAATAATTTGTCCCTGTTATAAATTCTTAGTAACCACAAACTTTACAATAAACTGATAGTTTAATGGTATATATTAGAATTATTACATTACTAAGTATTCACTAAGAGCCTATTACATTCTTGCATACAGAAAAATGACATTGATTTTAAATTTATTAATTTTTACTTTACAATTAAAAACTATTATTCATAATAACCACAATTTAGTATTTCAGTAATCTTAATAGGCCCTTAATAAAAATAAAGATAACAATCTAGTAATTAATAACTTGCATACGTACTAACAGTCACCGAATTTCTTTAAAGGATCCGACTTATTATGGATCTAAGAAATAACATAGTAAAATTTATCACAATTAATTATGTTTTACTATAATAATTATTTCCAATAACTACTGTGCTTTATGTTAAAAAAAAATACCCAGTAGTAGATAATTCATGTCCTAAAAACTAATAATAACCTATACCGTAGCATAGGTACTAAATATATATGTTTATTTAACACCAAAACATCTAAATGCTTTCTACTCTTTAGAAAAGATAATTATAAAAATTAACAAAATAATGACTGAAATTACTAACTTACTGTTTCAAAAGGGAAATTCTGAATACCTATTTCCGAACATTGTACAAGCCATAACAGCACAATAAATCACTTGAATTGAACTTCAGAGCTGGAACCAATAATTGGGTAATTGGTATTAAATTTTCAAGAAGATGATATACGACTATTATATAGGAAACGAATACATAAAAAACATACGTTAATGTACGGGATTTTCAATAATTGAAAATCACTCAAATATAAATTAACAACAATTGAAACAGTCGCCTGCCCAGAACGGTAACGTCAAATACTGACATGCATAAGTAGCCGAAACAATTGTCATATTACTATGTGTTGTGACATTGTTTTCAGTACTACATGTTACGATATACTGAATCAGTTTAAATAAACGATACGCTCGTAGTAATTCCGTAGCTTGTATGGCTTGCATTTACTGCCTAATAATAAAATTTGAGGTATTTTCATATTCGAAACAATAAGGACTTATAAGTAAATATTGAAGTCATAACATCCATTATTAGAATCAAAATATAATAGAATCCCAGGCTTATATAACTTAACTTTATATTTATATAGACTATTATATTTCCAACTCCATTAGGCAATTAATTATTTATTTTCTCATAACGATGGGTATGGATAAACTAATTGATATTGTTTCATACAAATTTTATTAAAAGCATACAGCAACTAAGTACAGGTTTTTACGAGGAGGTAAAGTCTTTTTTCTTTAAACAGGGTAAATCATAGAATATATTGTCATAATATATTCTACCATTAATGAATTTATTATTATATGTGTATAACTATGTCACACTGTCATATTAATTAAAATGAACCTCCCTTAAATTTTAGTAGTCTCATTAAATAGGATTAAACTAGTACTTACTACATATTACGTAAATTTTCTTAAGGTGTTTATATTTAAGCTCTCCTTTTATGAGCAATTTCAGCTAGTTTCCGATCTTCCTCTTTCATATCTTGGTCGTCCCATCCCCAAACTGGATTCTCTGGGTGATGATGGTCATGATCAAAGGACTTTGTCGAATTAGATGATGGATGGGTACCATCGCCTGTCCTTGATGCTCTTTTGACAATCATTTCAGTTGAAACCGTCTTCAAGTCATAAGCCAACCCTGAAATTAATTTGGCTATTTAAAACCACAGATTCTAATCCTAAAAAGACGTCATACTTGCTATAAAATGTTGATTTAGCATATAATCAATAGTAAGACTAGTTGATTTACATAGTCGCAAACGAAAAGAAAATGGTTGATGTACTATTTTACTTTATTACTTATATAGGTATAAGCGACTAGTAGAAATACTTAAATACGTTTTTTTATAAATACATACGTAATACACTTAGATAACACCCAGACCAATTTGTGTGTAGTGTAGTAAACCGCTAGACCACCATCACGACGGTAATATCATTGATATTTGGAAATATCATTACAATCTAGTATTTATTTTAGATACTATTTTTTTATACCGAACTAAATTAAGCGATAACGCTTAAACATAAGTTTATGAGAACGTCGACAATAGACCTTTGACAACCCCATCTAGAATAATACGTCGTGACGTGATGTTCTAAATTACTATTACTTACCATATTTAGCAGCGTAGTCAATTAGTGCAGTAGACAAGTTTGTACTATAATTGCCAAGTTCAGCCGCTTTGTAGTCCCATGGGAAAACGTGATGGTAGTTGTGCCAACCTTCTCCCAAAGCGAAGAAAGCGACTGTCTTGTTGTCAGTAGCGCCTATATGCCTAAAATAGCAATTAAACAACAATGAAAACAGGTACGTAATCTGTTTAGCAATACAACTAAATGAAATTATTACAATTGTTTTTATATGTTTGAACTAATCACAGATTTTTTATTATTATTTCATCTGATTTTGCTTTTCTAGCATTTAGTTCATACTTTTCGAAGGAAACTGATTTACGAATAGCACATTCTACTAGTAGTGTAATGTCTCTTTATGAATCTATAGGCGACTTTCTTAAAGAAGAAGGTGCAGTATATGGTACTTTTTTTGATATAGACCTTTTTCCAGCGGATAAAATGTCAGTAACAATTAATAAAAAAAAATTATTTCGTTTCAAACCGAAAAACCATTTAAACAGGCGCTGTCGAAGGTCAGCGCGACCCTGATCACTAAAACGCCAGGTTTGTGAGATAAATCGTTTTATTTATAGCTTAGTTTTATTTTTACTGTTTTAATAATGCTGGTGTTTTTTTTTGTGTTTCTTTCTCATCATCAAAAACCTGTGTGGTTCCAGGTTCCAGTTCTTTAATCCGTAATAGGTTTGTTATATACGTAGTTCTAGGCCTAAATAATGTTTAAGTTTATTCTGTAAATTTTATGACTAAATGTGTAAATAGTAGAATTCATTGGTACTTAAGGTGCAGCTTATATAGGTATCTTTTACATTGTTGTAACAGAGAAAGTTAAATAATGTTACAAACTCTCCTTTACGAGCAAAACCGCATTAAACCGATCGCTATACCGCAGTACTAGTTGCTAATCACTAAACTTTCACTGATGGTACGATAAAAAATAATAAATAGGTGGTGGTTCATTTAAACCTATTTATTGTGGGGGGACAGGGTAAGTAAAGGAGGAAATTATTGGCAAAGTTAACTTCCACGCAATCCCAACCAGAAGTGTGGATTACTGGTACTCTTTCTGAGAATGGACTAACTAACCTAACTAACTTCATCCTTATACTGTCAATTCCATCTACCTACCGCCAGCAAGACGTTAGTGCAGGCAGAAGTAATAAAGTAATATTCTGTCATTACGGGAAAGGGCATTTTTAGTAATGTGGATTAAAACTACATTACTATCAATGTAGGTCAACCTGACCTCCACGCGGTTTCCACTGGAAACCGTTATGTTAAATTCCTGGTAAATTTGCCATGATGCGCTAACTAACCTGACCTGCTCATCTTATCATTGTCCACTGGTCCCCGGCCAGAGTAAACCGTTAGCGCTGACTGGTGCAATATTTCATGAATATCGTAAACAAATATATTTTGTCATTACCAATTATAAAAAAACTTACTTGTCATAAGGTTTGTTGCCCCAGATGTGAGCAGCAGAGTTGACCAGCCAAGTGAAGTGAAGAGATACGGTGTACCTCGTAACGGACGCCACATACCAGGATGTCCAGGGATCCTCTCCCCACAAATAAACTGGTATCAAAGCGGGGATGACGAAACATAGGATTGGCATGACTACAAGATATGTTCTGAAACGAAAATAATTGCTGATGTTACACTTATATTTATACTGATATACAATGATAATATAATAAGTGGTGCTTGTGGTTACTTGTGGGGACTGGTCTATTCGGGTTACGAACACTGATTAGACTATTTGCTATTGCAATAGCATACGCTGGTGGTCACTCTATTCTTCCAAATTTGAATTTAAAAAATAATTTGTGTTGTTAATATGTAAAAAACATTTATTTCAAAAGAATACGAGCTGAGTTTCTTATCATTTCTTCTCAGCTCGAAATCATTACTAAATGACGGTAGATAGCATAGGTGTCTGTAATACACCTACACACGTTTTGCGAAATTCTTTTACTGCTTGAGTGGATTTAAGAATCTTAATATCTGTTCAAAATAATCTTATTAACCGTTCATGTCTACATATAGTCCACTGAGTTCAACAGTACTTTTTGACTGAAATTGTAAACTTATTAGATTATATACTAGAGATTGATTAGCCACTTATGCGAAATTAATCCTATTAAATAGGGTTTTAACTCCTAAATTATATCTATAGAATAATAATTTTCAAACAGTGCCTAAGAATACTGACATATAAATGTGTATATGTACATCTTTTCATCCATGTTCATAATATGACGTCTAAAAATACTACTAATAGTTGCTCTTTATATCTATCTATTTTCCGTCTATTTCTATCCATCTATATTAATAGACATTTACAATATGATTTTCTTAATAATTTACATAATTTCTTCCAGAAAGGTTTAATTATGTGATACTTGCATGTATATAAAAATAATTTAACTCCTTCAAATACCTAATGAAATGGTCTTATGCTATATAGCCGTGGAAAGCAAGGTTGGATCACTAGCGTACACAATAGTCCGGGAGGCTATTAATTTCTCTCCTTTGGACAGTACGCGATTTACCAGATCTTGATAGGACCACTATTGACATTATAATCCTTTCCAAATGCCCGAACAAAGTCACGTACCTTTCTCATCTCCACATTGGCAATTACAATCTGTATCGACACTTTCTTTCAAACTAATATGTTCTCGCATTAACTATAGTATAACAACAATTAAAAAGTAAACGTTTCTATAATTATCTATGGAATTATGCCTGTCCATAGTATTGTACTTAAAATTTAAATTACTCGATTTTTTAATTACATACAGTTATATTTATATGATTAATTTTAAAAGTCCGAGTAACAGAGCCTACAAACTTCATACCCATGTAACTTGTTTCTTTGTAAAGATTAATTTCAATAGCTTCAGCAACTATGACGAGTCTCATCCATAATAGATATTTAATGAATTAATGACTCTACATTAATTAAACGGACTGTTAAATTGTTAGAATTCTGACTGTGTTATTTATAAAGTTCTCATTACAACACTAATTAATTCGTATCTACTTAAAATAAAGCTTGTCTACCTAACAAGCTTTATTTTAAGTAGATAGATATAATACTTTTTTTGTTATGAATTGCCATTTATATAACATAATTTCATATAAACCTTTTATTTAAATTGGCAGTCCAATTCAGATATATATATATATATATATATAGTATAAAGTAAACCAGATTTATGTTTCTGATCTTTTTTAAATCACGTAACATATTTCGATAACATTTTCACTATCATTTATAAAAACATCTCTTGGTTAACCATAAAAAGAATAAGTGTCCTTAATTGTAATATATATAGCTGTATATCTTGTGTAAAATATACGAATTTAATTGTTTATTTATTGAAAACATTAATTTTTTTAAATACAACTGTATGTAGTAGTTGCATAATTCCAGTTGCCTAATAGATATATATATTTTATTTTGCGGGTATTCAATTCCTATTGAATAATAATAACCATCATATTAGTAGTATACTCATAACTCACTGCTCAGCCTTTGTGATCATAGAGATAGTAGCGTAACTAAACTTTAAAACACAAAATTGTTAATTATTCAGTTGTACGAAAACCTATAGTGCCTACTTGAACTATTGTCGAATATAATATGTACTCACTTTTTCTGGAACATCACTATCGGGTCTTTTTCTAAATCAGACATGTCGACCATAGCTCCCTTTTCTAAAACCTCCTTATGCTTGCGAACCATCAGCCAACCCATGTGGGAGAAGAAGAACCCTCGTCGCGCATTGTGGGGGTCAGCATCAGTTTCAGTGAACTTATGATGTACCCTGAGAACCAATAATAGACTAAAATATTATGGAGTCTTATATCAAACTATACATAGCAATATACCTCATTTTATGAAGACTGGTCGCAAACAAACGAGTATGTGACTGAGTATATGACTAATATATGACTCGTTTGTAAGCGACATTCCATACTTCAGCTACAAAATTGTTTCATATCATTCTTCACTAGTCTGTATAGCCCCATATTAATCTTAACCCAATTTATTAGTGTAGTGTAATTTATTCAAGAACACTTCACTATTGTAACTGGCTTCTCCTTATATTTAAAATTTGATTAGAAGTGGTACATAAAAAAAAGTTATTTTTATTTTGATTGATTCTGATTGAAGACTCTATCCTATATACTGAATTAATTTTCTGTTATTTAGATAAAGTGATAAATTTACTAATTATTAATTTCTTTTTAACGTCATTAGCATTTTATGCATTCAGAAATAAAATGCACAAATCTACATTATGGTGTATGTTTATTTCACATATAGAATTTATTTCTATATGTGAAATGCCTTTTGCGAATAAATGTACTGTAAAAAAATAAGGATGGGTTACTAAAAATACCTAAACCACTGATATTAAAATTTCTTTGATTTGGTTTTGTTTGCGTTTGCCTGTTAGAAATATATATTTTGGTATAAAAGCAACACGGATTTTGTTTGAAAACTTTATTGTGTGTTCCTGAACGTTTCATAGCCGGCAATTTACTTTTTACGTGACAACATAAAGCCTGAAACGCGCTTTAACAAGAAATCATACTCATGTTACAATTCATTACATCACCATTTCATTGTGTGATGTCAAATAAGAACCATTACGTTTGATCGATACATACTTATAAAATATTTTGAGCAACCACAACAACTTAATTACCTACATCATTTCAATCAAAACATACATCATTTCATTCAGAAAAATTCAAACATATTTAGAAATTCAAATTTCATAAGTAAGGGTTGATGTAAAATGAATTAGAATATAATTATAAATAAACAGTATTAAAAAACATAACGTAAGACATTGAACGAAAAAAATATAAAAATATAAAGTAGACTTCATATCATCATCGCATGTAGACATACAATACGAAATAAAATTAAAAAAGTTAGATAAATATTAATTTGGTTGTCATATAAATTATAAAAACAACCGAAGGAGGTATATGTAAGTTAAAACATTTGTGTCCCGCCTACGATTAGATAAGCCTACTAAAATTACAATGTTAACAAAACATTACTTAGAATAGAATAGATATAATCTTTCATATTAAGTAAGTTGATATTAAATAATTTAATTGAATAAACTTTATTGTAAATATAAAGTTGATAATAAAATATCGGATCCTATAAATGTAGTATTAATTACTTTATTTTATTGATTTGTTATATTGTGATGTTCATTTTTATCGTAACTTCGTGTCTATGTGTGTGTAAACATAAATGTCAGATTACTATTTAGTAACTTATTTTAAATATACATATCTTTTAAGTATCATCTGTAAAAATTATATTAATTTTAATATAAAAAGATTAAATGATACTCTTGATAAAATAAATAAATATGTCAAAGTTTGACACAGTTATTCCAAATATTAATAAATCAATAATTCAGTTGAAACAATATATATAAATATACAACATGAAAAAAACATAATTTCATTACGATATATGGTGAACATTGTTCCATACTTATATAAAGTAACAAAGTATTCAGACATTCCAGGGACTGCTAAAAAGAGACTATGATTTCTGTAAAGCAATTTTCGTATGTTATTCTATGCGCTTAACATACTTAAATGACAACGGATTGAATCTAGTGACAATAGTCATATATCTCACCTAATTTTTTATCGACACGCACACATTTATAAGCACAGTAGGTAGATTTAGTATCACCTCTTTTGAAGTAGAGTAAAAAATGAAACATACCTGTGATCACGAACCCATTCATAGATGTGGTTTTGGAAAGCCATTGTCTGCATCAGTGCAAGAAACAGCCGCAATGGCCATCTTGCTTTGTACGCTCGGTGTGCCCAGAGTCGATGGGCACCCGCCGTCACGCCTACTGCCGAGCCAATCGCGAAAATTATACCTGAAAATAAAGATATATTTCAATTTACATAACCATATTGTAATTTACTGATTCGCAGAAATTCGCGGGTACAAACACCTGAGACTTTCTGCGAATCAATAAAATTGACTTTGCTCTATCTTGTGGGGTCTCAGAAGTCAAATAATGTATTTACCAGACACCTAATACATAATAAATAATAAATAAAGAGGAATGATTTGATTTTCTGTCAGTAATTGATAAAATCTAAAAAAAATCCTTTTAAAACCTATAGAGCGATCATTTGGAAAGACCAGCTAGTATATTTTATTTTCTAGAAAATTTTAGATGCCTATACTAGTTGCAGTCTTATAAGGCCAGGATAGGTTATTGGCAATATGTATTTATTGATGTGTAAAATATATTCAAACTTATAATACCAAATAAAACAATAAAATTTGACAATTTATATTATTATAATGTTCATTATAATGAAAAACACAAAAGTTAGAAATTTAATATCTACTTAGTTTTATATTAATTTGGAGTATTTATAGATATTCCTTTAGGTGTTAGTAATTTCAGTAAGCATTTTCATCATGTCATGTTCTGGTTGAAAATATCAAAAGACGGCGGCTAGCCGACGTTATCCGACCCGACTCAAATATTTTTAGGGTATACGAGAGTTCAAAAATATCAAATACATCAATAATTAAATAAATTTTTATTTTTTATCTAAATTTCTGCTTTTTCCACCATATTTGATTCAAGTTTAAAACATAATATATTTATATTTTTATCATATACAGCTTAAACAAAGTACAAGTACCAACGACAAACTTCAATCATATTTTAATAAATATGTAAGTACTTACCAAATGTGTAAGTAAGTGCTTTAGCTCTCCCTGTGAATATTAAATAAAGTCCATACAGTGCAGCTATGTGCATGTAAACGAAGGCAAATACATTCCTCCATACAATCTGCCATCTGAAATATAGATTTTTTTTTTTGAGAATTTATAACAAAGTAATAATTCGTCATTATGCATTATGTTTTGTTACATTATGGCCAGACTTAAACACAAGAGGTCGTGAGTTCCAATATGGCCGACACGAAAATATCAATGAATCTTATCTTATCGGTTTTCATATTAATTTAGTGAAAAGCTATAGTATTATATAGAGATATAGAAATTTTATTTATTTTGATAGAATTCGTAATTCAAATTCGAAACGTTTCTTGTTGCACTAGCCATGTACTGCTCGTAATTAGGGCTAGAGTCTATTCGAAATGTCAAAATATGTACGTTACCACATAATTATTTTTGTTCAAATCAATTTTAATATTTATGTTTATGTTTGTTACTCTTTCACGCAAAAACTACTGAATGGATTTTAATGAAATTTCATAGTGATATAGCTTATGCATCAGAATAACATATTGGCTATATTTTATATTGAAATTTAACGCGGGTGAAACCGCGGGCACAGCTAGTTGAAAATATGTACTAAACGCCTTTTTTACAATAACTAACAATTTAGTATCAGTCAAACAATAAGTAGTGTGTAGATTGATGTGTGATTATTTTAACAACTTACTCGTGACTTCGGCTCTTTTGTTCTGATACATTATATATTTTAGGCACATCGTCTTCGTCTAAAGACTTCGCTTGCTTCGTTAAATACGTGTTCATCGAAGGCATCGGAGCACCCGGCATTTTGTATAGTCTGAAACAAAATACACAATTAATTATACTACTAAATGTAACATAGTCATAAGATATTCATCAATTAAAGTATTTTAAAATGTGTACTTTGCGTTCTGGCATCATATTAAAGAGATCGAAGAGTTATAATATTTATATTGACACGACAATAAAAATTCGAAGTGTTTTTAAAAATTTTCTTATAATGGTCGCGGCTTCGATTATTCATACCACAGATAACGTAATATTACATTCTCACACGGTACTAACATTTGTATTCATAAGTATGATTATTTGTATCGGTTAAGTTAATTTATAAGTATATTATGTATGTATTTAAAAAAATGAATTTTACAGTAATTGCCTAATAATAATAATAATAATAATAATGTTATGTTTGCGTTCCTGACGTACAGGGTCCGTAATGATTTAAAACCAATTATGAACATCTTTAATTGTAATATTATGGATGCACTAAATATTAAGTATTGAGTCTAGTACCTATAACACAAGCTCTGCTTGCCTTAGGACTAGATGCCGTTGTGTAAATTGGGGCATTAATATTAAAATAAATTACAAAATACCGAATTCTTATTTTTAAGAAAAATGACACATGAGGGGACCCAGGAGCGTCAGAGTGCATTATTTAACGTCCTTGATACTGTTCAGGCGCGGTTTTAACTTTACATAAAGTTAAGCTATCAAGTTGTTTGTTATTCCAAACGACCTCGATAGCCTAGTGGTTAGCACACCGCCTTACTACCAATGGTCGCGGGTTCGAATCCTCGCACGGTAGAAACTTTTGTATTCATAAGTATGATTGTGTCGAACTAGATGTTTTCTATGTATATTATGTATGTGTTTAAAAAAAGTCTAAGAATTTATATCGGATGTCTAGTACCCATAACACAAGCTCTGCTTACCTAGGGTCTAGATGACGTTGTGAGATGACATTGTCTAGCGATATTATTATTATTCCAGTAGTATAAATAAAAATGATAGATCTATTTTGTAAATTTTAAACTCTCAAATTATGTCTTTATGTATCTAAGTAAAACATCATTATTTTTATACTTTGCGTACCTACAAAAACAGTGTTGTACGTATACAAGTATATTTTGTACAGACCTACATTTTTTGGTAAATATTTATTCAAAAACTACCTACATATTTTAGATATGTTTTCTAGGAGAATAAATTACTTATTGAGTTAACAGTAATAGTAAATAGAAATATTGGTAAAGTTGTAAAGTGGTTGTCTAATTATTCATAAATTTTATTCTTTGAGTATGTACATATATATATAGCACAAAATTCAATAGAAAGTTACATAGTCAATAAGTGAAAAGTGTGATGACTCCGACTGTCTCGCTAAGGCAGTATGGTGTGTGGCTAAACTTTAACAATCGTAATTTTTCACCTCAATTCGGTGACTTACATATTTTTATGTCTGAGAATTTGATATATTTGTTATTGCTTTAGATACAGTAATAATGTTTAAAAAGATCGTAATTTTTTACTTTAACTTATTGAAATTAGTTCAAATCAAATCAAAAATCATATATATTAATATTAGACATTTACATGCTGAATTTCGCTTAAGAAAGTATTATGAACAACTATTGTCAATATATATTTATATACAGATAATATAATATTATAGTGCTCCGTAAATATGATTTCCAATATGGTTCAACAGAAATGTAACTTATAGTTCAAAATTAAAAATATTGTCTGGAATGTCTAAATCAAGAAAGATTTAAATTAAATGGTCCGTTTTGTTACCATGCCAAATATATATTTATATCCATTATAATACCAGTAATAATAACTTATATTGCAAAATTAATAATATTGTCTGGAATGTCTAAATCAAGAAAGTTTTAAATTGATACGATAAACATATAAAATTAAATATAAAAGTATTTAGTTTTATATATTTAGTACTGATTATCTGCATCCGATGTGTGTAAATATTTTTTTTATAGAACTACTATATAACTACCGATCGTCCTTCCTTCACACAGTTTAAAATATTTTCTTATTATAAAGATCTCTTGCATCAATTATCCTTAATAATTTACCTACATTGGTGAAAATGCATACTATTGAATTATTATTTTGCCAAAGGATTGGAAGACGGAAATAGTAGTGTAAATAATGACTGTGCACACAGTACGAGCCACTCACAGTATATTGGAAAGGAATGTTCTCGACAGGTATTTGTAACCTCAAGTATGTTGCAGGAAGTTTCAGTTGCAAGGAGGTTCAGGACTGTTTCTTATGGTAATGACTCGTATTTAATTATACTCCTTTTTGTATAATAAATATGTGTTATATTTTTGCAACTACTTCATTAACTATTTGATACTTTTAATACTACACGGGCATCAATACATACAGACCCGTATTATATATTAGTAGGCACAATTTACTCGTAGACAGAGATACTCGCTAATGATTCGTTATCTAAGCTTGTATCTGATACGGTCGAAAAACTTCATTTTTATCCATTAACTGTATTCCTTTTCTACAGTTATGACACAAATATTATATTCTTTCAAAAATGGTTTATATTTACTATTCACCTGTTTACACAAATATATGATGATAATGAATGCAAGACAATGCTACATTAGAAAAGCGAAATCAGAGAATAATAAACTATAATTTTCTCAGTCACTAATTGGACACGAAATGTCAAACTTAATAAATTCTATTAACAAGAAACGGGTAGTAAATAAAAAAATAAGTGTATACGATAATTATTTCGAATATGAAAGATTTGTAAAAATGTTTAAGCATTGTTTCATAATTGTTTAAAAATGTCTGAATGCATTTTGATATGATTTGTTTCATAAATTTAAATTCTTTACTAGTACTACTATCCATTTCCAAATTTTTGTAGTTTTTAATTACTTCTTACTTTTTTATACGATACGATTTTGGCTTTCTTTATTTCATTTGACTCAATGTCTTGGTCTGTTCTGTCCCCCTAGATAGTATTTCTCATAGTAGATATTACTATTTATTCTAATTCACTAACTGAAAAAATCCATCTCAGCATAGTAGCTCCTCGTACTACATAGTTTTTAATCTTGGTATATTAAAAGTAAATACTTGCATATAATTAATCATAAGTTCGTATAAAAATGTCAACTAGCGCCGAAGTGGTAATAAATCAAAAAACTGGCTCCACTTTCCTACGTCTAAGAGAAGTGTGTCAGAAAAATTGGTCAAGTGTGTGTCCAACAAGATAGATTAATGAGATCCATTAATACCAGTGTATCGTATGTACCTACTAACATAGTTCATCAACAAGACAAATTATTCAATGCACAGGAGAAAGGTGAAGGTAAATGAGTAAATAGTCAAAACTCCATAAAAAAGAATGTAAGTATGAACATAAAAAGCAGAATGTGTTATTTTAGTTCCTATAAAATACTCATGACTTTCCCTAAAGTAAGACAATAATAGTTATGTTCAATTTAATACCAATTTTTTGCCATTGACAGTTCATTTGCGTTCAATAAAAATTAGAAGTATTTTACATTTTCTTTCGAAGTCATTTTTAGCTTAAGTAATATTTAAAAAAGTACTTATCAATTATTTATTTTAATTTAAAATCCCTTTGTATTTTGTTTAAATGAAATATAATTTGCTTCTAGTTTTTAGTTAAAAAAAAAAACAATTAATACTTTTGTGCTAAATAAATAGTATTTTATTAGTTTTCTTTATTTACAGATTTTTTAATAACTGTTGAGTAAGCATTGTTAGTATAGCTAGCAATGTTGCCTAGTACTAGAATACATACAAAGATATTCATCTGTACATTATAGGTACACAATGTAATAGGTACTCTTGCTTGGCACATTATCTACAAATCGGGGTCGTGTAAACTTCACGTCATATTGTATTCTACATTACAATAAACATTGCTTATTTATTAATTGCAAACATATCTTTATACATTTAAATAAGTTTAAAATAGATTTTATAATTTTTTTTTACATATTATGTGGATTGATTGACGAACACTAACGGAAGGAGTTACATTTTTAAATTTTAATTGTTTAGATGGATAGTTTATGCACAATGTAAAACTGTAATGTATAGGCGATGTGACTTAATTATTTTTTATATACGAATATTACTCGTAAATCATCTGTATTAGTAAAAGTTTATATATATCCAACATTAAACAGTATGTGCAGTGGTGCCTATAAACCATTGTAAATTTCTGTTTATTTTTTTATTTTTCTCATCCTTTTATCCTTTAGTAAGACTCTGCGGTGTATAATCATATATTATTTTAAATATATACACCTTAATTTTTTTACGTAATAAGCAATTTATTGTCTACAGTTTTACTTAATGTTTATGGCATTTTCGTCTGTAAACTGCAAGAAAATTAAAACTATATATTAGAAAAATAAATGATGCTCATAAACTGCCAGTTTTTTAATGAAATGCTTGCCTACAAGGAAATTATTTTATTATTTTACAAGGCAAATTTATTAAAATAAATTGAGATCTTATGTGAAAGAACCTGATAAAAAGATTTGGATATTCCTATAAAAATACACCTCACATTAATAATACGGTACTTTAAACTTAAATGAGGCTATGCATTATATTCTAGAATAGGTCAATTTTGAAAAGTTTGATTGTCTGTCCGAGTTTTTAATTGTACCTAGTTTTATTTGCTGCAGCGAAAGTCTGAAGATTCGTTATTTGTTGTAATCGTTTTGTTACTTGTTTATTCAAATTGAAGGCAATTAAGTCTTCTAAACTAATGTGTATATTCAAACAATGGTGTATTTTTTAATAAGAGAAATATGCTACAACACATGGCTAACTCCGTAGAAATTATTAGCATAGATTATGCATATTTCGACGGCATTGTTTAACGGTAATGATGGTATTGTTTTCCCACACCTTGATGCCAACTCAAATAATACCTGTACCTAATATTGAAAAGAATGTCTAATACAATCTGACGAGTTTTTACAACAGGCGTAC